AGGGACCAGCACATGAAAAGCTTGTAGGATTGTTTAGCCTTCTTAATGTCTTACCATTCTCTGCATTGTCCATCATTGTTTTGATCCAGAGTCTGAGTACACCTCCACCTAATTAGCACTTGTACTCTTAAAAGCTGGGAATATATTCATATAAATTCCATTCCAAGGTGCTCTCCACCCAGCAATTATCTTCAGCATACTTTGATGTAACTACTTCAGTACCATGTGCTTCTGGCATCATTGGGGTTGAAGACATGGGTGAGATCTTTACACTGGAGAGTGATCATATAGATAGAACTAGGTCAGGAATCATAGCCACCCATTCAGCCGTACTGGTGAAAGCTGTGGCATAGACAAACTCACCATGTCCCCATACCCTACCTATTCTGCTAGTACAAAAGGCCAGAGAACAAGAGCCAAGATATATGCACACACTTCTATTGATAGAACTGAAAGGAGCTCCAAGTAATAATGCAATAACAGTGGCTGTGAGCATTGGAAAAATCTGATTTCCAATATATATATATAATTACTAAAGTTTTATTCATTTATTCTAAGTGGCATATGCAGAGATTCAGTTGAGCTTGGAGAAGCCTTTTTGTTCTCTAAAGTTGCCCTTCAAAAGTCTACGTAATACCAAGTCTAAAATGCAAGGATTGGCCCAGGATCAAGCTGAAAGAGACATGCATTTTCTAGTCTAAAAACCTACAAATGCACAGACACCATCTAGTAGCTCGGCTAGGTCATTTTCATCACTGTCCCCGTATGGATGCTCTTTTAGTGGCAAGATTTTCTCCCTAGGAGGCGGAACTTCCAATATATTCTCTTCATTCCTATCTACCTCTCACTTCATCAATAGTGCTATCTTTCTTAATCTCTCTTTGACAATTCACGCCTTTTATCCAAAATTTGCTTATTAGTCTTTGTTTTTAATTCACTTTCAATACACTTATTACCTGCATATTTGGTCTCTAATTAAATAAGCAACTCAATCTCACGTTCAGTCCAAATTCGAGATCAAGAACGAGTTGACTCCCTAACCATACTCCTAGCCACTATTATTTTCCTTTCTCTGTTCATTTCTAACTACGGAATGCCTGTGTCTACAATGCTGGCTTAGGCCCGATTTAGTATGGAAAGCCAACCCACAACTTGAACAGGTATAGCCCATCACCGGGGTATCCACTTCCCTGGGCATGCACTTCGGGTAGTGCCATGCTATATTATGGAATTGAGAAGATTTACCACACTTTTTGCAGACCACTCTAATGGCCTTACTTTGATGCCATGTATCTAAGCACTCCAGAAGCATTAAGCTTTGAGTCACATCCCAATGACTGTCCTATTTTTCCACACAGGGAGATGTTTTCTTAAACTGTGTGGCACAGTCGGTTCTCTAGCTCCATGAGGGCATTAACAAGCATGTGTCTGGCAGCAGGGAAGTGAGTTAAGGGCAAGAATGTAGATGAAGGCATGGAACCTTTGTTCCCTCTTTGCCATCCCACCATTATGCCCTCTCCAAGCTTGGCAGACACATGCAGGTGTAAGACCCGGAGCTTTGCTTGTAGATATATACTTGCTTACACATGCCATTGTTACATTTTAGAAATGCACTTTTTTTTTTTTTTTTTTTTTTTACTGCTAGAGCATTTTTAAAAAAATGTATTTGTTGCTGCTTTCATTTCAGAGTGAACCCAATTTGTAGTGGCATAAGGGACCTACCAAAGCACAGTATGATCACAGAAGCTTGTAGAAGCAGCCTTGAGTGAGTCCCATACACTACAGCCAAAGTAGAGAGAGGGAGATTATACAACAAACCATACAAGAAAGGGTGTCTAACAAACCATACATAGTATAGTTCCCCCCCCGCCAATACATTAAATGGAGCTGTCATGACTACCTCTTTAGGCAGTGGGAAGTAACAGGCAGGAGGATACTTCCACCCTTAGAACAGAGCACTCTTGTGAAGCCAGTTCTTCAGTCAATTCCTCACAAAGCAGGAGTGCCCAGTAACCAGACTGCTGGCTTCTTTGCCAACAGAAGGGCCCACTTATACTGACAAGTTTACTAGGGTAGAGAATCACAATAGAGACAATGCCACGTTCTCCTTCATACGACTTTCCTCTCCCACAATGCGTAGAAAACTCTTTTGGACCCTGCCTAGGCAGATGGTAGGTAGACTACTGCCCATTATACACTATCTTTCATTTACCATCACCGTATGCTTCCACCAACTCCCATTAGGCTGGGTCAGACACGGTTTTGCATGTTATCATACTCCTAGAGGGCAAGCGCTCTACGGAAGGGAATGTATCCGTATGGCACCTAGCAAACTACGGCCCTGATCCTTGCTTGGGGCTGAAGTGCTACTGTAATACAACCAACGTAACAGCACCTCAGGCCAATTTATAACTTGTTTGGTCACCTGTGCAGACTGCACTAAACCGTTAATCCTCCTGTGTTAGAATAGGACTCCCTGCCACTGTAGGTTTTCCTATGCATATGGGCCCACCCTAGGAAGCTGATGGGTATATTGGAAGTCACAAAGTGCAAGAGACAAAAGCAGAAGGGCACCAACAAGGTGCCATCTTTTTACTAGTCTATAATGGCAGCAAGGTTCACATTACAAAGTGTTGGGCGTCAGTCTAGGTACAAGGCTTCAACTTTCAAGGCTTCCTGTGGAATTAGAGTCACGTTTAAAAAAAAAAAAACAACGAAAGGAAGATTAACAAACATGGGGCTAGACAGCTTCTTACTTCTGCCATGGAACTAAAGTGAAGTAAAGGAGGCTAGATCATTGCGGGAAGCTTCGCACAATTCAAGATCATGTTAACTGTAGCACTGTATGTACAATTTAAAAAAAAAAAAAATCACATCCACATAGTATTAGATAATTAGAGCTAGAGAAACCTTTTTTAAGCACAGTTTCAAGAAATAGGTTTTGGGTTTAGGATTATCATAACCACTATAGATGTCCTGTAATTCCAATCACTTCAGTTGTGACTGTTTCCTCAGAGCTCCTTGTTTTCAGTAATCTGTCTGTGAAAGGGAAAAATACTCAGCATTACTCCCTCTCCCGCCCCAAATTACTAACACTATTGCTATATTATTAGGCTGATTTTAAACTAGAGGATGGGAACAGTCTTTCCTCCTCTTTTCCCACTACCTTGAGAAAAGAGGTTATATCTACTTTCCATTCTGGGGCTGACTGGGGAAAATGAGACTGGTCAAGTGGTAAGGACACCTGAAACTGAACTATTTCTGCATTGAATGGACCAGGATGAGTCCCAAGATGAAACAAGGTTTCCCGCCTCCCAGCGTTTATAGTCAAAATGACAGGGATCAACACAGGCCTGCGGGAGGCACAAGGAGAGAGTTTATTTATTAGGTTTGATGTATTGCTGCCCTTTGAATAAATCAAAAATTATTTGAGCCTAGGGGCCAGCTGGATTTTGCATGCCCTTCCTCAGACTTAATCGTATCTTCATAACACCTAAAACTAAATTTAAATTTCTGGATTCAAGGATAATCCTCTATAAGAAGAGGTGGTGAGAACATCCTCTTTCACTGTCAGAAGCCTATTTCAATGTCAATGGCTGTGCTCTAGATCAGGAGGTAGGTCTGTTGCTACCTTGTCACCCTATTAGGGGAAAAAAAAACAAATTTAATTTGCATGTGCAAATTAGATCTCCCCAGCTGTTGACTGGCTCTCAGGGGGTTATGAGGTATGCTGGAGAAACGGGAGATTTAGATTGCATTCAAACCATTGAAGTGAACACTGAAATATGCTAGTACACAATCACACACAGACAGTACATCTACAGACCCACAGTCTATTGCATCAGTTTACAGATATTACAGAGAAGTCACGTCCATGTCGTTTAAACAACTCAGCTGTGCCCTAGAAGTTAAGAAGCCCATTAAAAAAACAAAAAA